TCCAAAGGTCCTGAGTTCAATTCCCAGCAACCACATGGTGGCTCACAACCATCTGTAATGGGGTCTGGTGCCCTCTTCTGGCCTGTTGGCATACACACTGACAGAATATTGTATACATAATAAATAAATAAATAAATATTTAAAAAAAAAAAAAAAGAAATCCAGTTTTATAAGACTGGATTTTATGAATTCATAATGAAAACGAGCAAGCCCCTGTTCTACCTCCCCCTCCCCAATGTCTACTTTGTGGAAATCAGCGAGCAACTGAGCCACAATATGCTGCATATATTTAAAAACGAATTCATTATCCGCCCCCATGTAGTTTTTTTCTTTGCTCCCAGAAAGGTAGGGATTGGGGGTTCTTGCATCTTTAGCCTTCTCGCTGTGGTCAGTTTTGAACTGACTGTCAAGTAAGGCGCTACCCTTTGATTTCAATGTTGATAATACGGATATCCCATCTTTTCTGAGCAATCCAGCCACCTTTTTGTTCCTTTGGTCACTTCTTTTTTTTAAAATATTTTTTTATATTTATTTATTTATTATGTATACAATATTCTGTCTGCAGTCCAGAAGAGGGCACCAGACCTCATTACAGATGGTTGTGAGCCACCAAGTGGTTGCCGGGAATTGAACTCAGGACCTTTGGAAGAGCAGGCAATGCTCTTAACCACTGAGCCATCTCTCCAGCTCCTTGGCCACTTCTTAATCCAGTTCCTCCCACTGATTTGTAGCAACTACTTCAGTGACAATTAAGTACCCAGCATTGTGCTGAGGACATTGTCTGCATCTCCTGACCAGCACAACAGCTTCACAGAAGACTGAAGGTGTCAATAGACTCGACACAGGACATGAAGGTAGCGGAGAAGCCTTGCTTCAAGCTCAGATTAGTCTTCATTCCCAATTCAGTTAGATCCTATTGTCACAGAAGAAAAGGTGTCTTCAAAGTCAGTGGTTATTATGTTAAATTAACCCATTATCTTTTAGAATAGTTAAAATTTTGTGTGACCACAGCCCTAAATTAACCCAGAACAATGCTGCATAGCAAAAATAAAACACCATGATGCAAGTCACACATGTAATTTCAAATTTTTAGTACTATGTTAGAAAAGATTTTTAAAACAAGAGTTTAAAAACATAAATGTGTAGTTAATGAAATATTTTGTGTCCCACTCTGTCAAAAATATTAGAATAACCAATTGAAAAATGATTGAGGTATAATATGTTATCATTTGAACTAAGTTTTTGAAGTC